TGACCAGGGCCAACTCGCGCAAGTGGCATTAGCGGAACTTGCCGCAACAATCACGTGATAAAACAAATCTTGGCATTCATCGGGCCTTGCGCACAACAATTTTCCAGAGTCCGCGACCGACAACGACATCAAATCTGCAAACGCTCCTCACGAACCTCGACATCGACAAGTTTACTAGGAAGCCAAGATGGTGTGCCCCCCTTCCGCGTCTTTGGCTCCATAGTTTGCTGACAAGACATAACGCAGTCGACCAACGCCAAAGTCAAACCCGGCCAGCTCTGGGGCAAGTCCAAGGACGACCTGAAGAAGCAACTCGACGAGCTCAAGACCGAGCTGGGACAATTGCGCGTGCAGAAGATCGCTGGCGGTGCCTCATCAAAATTGACAAGAATGTATGCAGCAGATCGACAGGGAATTTAAAAACCACCCCTTCCTCTCGATCCCCAAAAAGTCGTCAGAACGCCATTGAGGACTTGAAGTACTAATCATATGGGTTATACAGACACGACCTCCGCAAATCCATTGCCCGCGTCCTGACCGTGATCAACGCAAACCAACGCCATCAACTCCGTCTGTTCTATGCGAAGAAGAAGTACCTGCCCCTCGATCTGCGACCCAAGTTGACCCGCGCGATCCGTCGCCGACTGTCGAAAAAGGACGCCAGCAGGGTCACGGAAAAGCAAAAGAAGAAACAGACGCACTTCCCCGCGCGGAAATACGCTGTCAAGGCCGAGTAAGGTGCCAGTAGCGAGTGGGAGGTGAGGATGGTCCGAAGGCTTCGGGTGAAATGATCATTGGGTGAGAGACGTCACTCGGAACAAGGGTGACGGTGGTTTGTGGTTCGAACGGGTATGCGACGAAGAGGAGCGTTCCCAGCTCCGGTTTATGCGCTTCGTCTAGAGCACTCTGTGGGTGTCGAAAGACACAACGAAATGGCTGGCGGGTTTAAGCCCTGTGTCATGTGTCGCCGAAAAGACAATGAGAAAAAGACGAACTCAGTATTTTATTGAAGACGGTTACAAAGCATTTCGATACGGGTGTCATTGGTGTTCCAAACCGAGCACGTCGCGCTCTGCAGCTCTGCCTCAAATCCGCCCTGCAGAGTATTGTGATCTACTTGTGAACCTCATCCCAAGGCTTAAGCACCCAACTCCCATCGCAGACACATCTCATGAGTAGCATAGCAACTTGCCTAGGCCACTCCCGGGGCGGCACGTTGACATCCTCACTGTAACTCCCGCATCTCAAGCATTTCCTGACCATCAATTGCCCTGACCCGTTAGGTTCCGCCACACCCTTTGAAATCGGTCTCTTTCGATGCACATCATAGATGACCTCTTTCTTACCGGAGTCTCCATCGGTGCTCCGTCGACCCAGGATATCGTGATTCAAGAAGATATATTCCAAATCGACATGATCGATGAACAGCTTGACTCGATCGATCAACATCTTTGCACGGAGTCCTTGAGCGCTGTTGAACAGCGTGTTGAGCAGCACCTTGACCGTCCCTTGGTACGACTCGTGCACAATTCCCGTGGCCATCATTTCGAGCTGGCGGACAGCTGTGGCGGCCATGTCTCTGTCCACGTCGCCCACCGCAGACCATCTGTATTCGAGAAGTGCCTCCATGGCTTGGAACGACAGACCTTTCCCGGATGTTTGTTGTTGGATACATTGTAGGACTTGCAAATGGTGATTTGATTTCGGTTCTGTGTTCTTCGCGTACGCCCTGACGGCTCTGACAAAAGCGATCAAAAATATGCGCGAAGTATGACAGTTCAGAAGTAAGCTGACGAGACCCTGGCTGCCATCGCCCAGTGAGTCACCCGCTCTGCCAGGATCTTTCTCATCAAACATTTCCGGGTTCGTCTCCCGGTCTCCTACCTCCAAAATGGTGCTAATGATAAATCTCAAAAGCGATAAACCCCACCGGAGATTCGAGCAGAGCAGATCTGTCAAGTCTTGGCTCATGACGAGCTGAATATTCTGCACATCTCTCATAGCCATGAAAAGTAAGGTTGCAGTCTGTCGGATGTTGTTGACCAACCAAGCCCACTGTGCGCTCAGTGACCAACAGCCATTTCTCCTATCGGTGGAGGCAATCGAAGGCAGTTGAGGACAGTTCGCCGCCAGACTCGCATGGTAAGACAGGACTCTTCCCATTACGGTCTTATGGATAACCTTTTCGAGTTCCGAGCCTTCAGTCCTTTCGTGGACAAAGTCGCTATCGCGAAAGAGCGTGCGATACACGGTCGAAATCACCGTGGGGATGAGTTCGGTCGGAACTGACTGTGAAACACACATAAGGATGTCGTCAATGGTGGCGTTGGACCAGCATGCTCGCGCGAAGGTCAGGTTCAAAGATGCAATGGCCACGTCGATGTTTGGATCTAGCGGCTGCAGTGATTGAGGTTGTCCTAACTGGTATTCCATGGAGACAAGTTGCGTTTTCCCGTCCGGCGCCAGATCTGCCCTGACACAAGCGTTAGGAGAGAAGGCCGGCGTGAGAGTAAACTCAACGTAAGGAAATGCAAATCCAGATTGAGACATGGATGTGGTCTCCTGTACCAACGAGGCATAGGACATTGGCGATAGGTCCTCTGAGCTTAAGAAATCGGTGCGGTTTTCTTGCGTTGTGACGACGATCGACTGGACACCGTCCACATGGTGAATCGTCGTGATAACCTGTTCCTCTTTATCTGGTAGCCTCTGAAGAGTGTAGGTCGACTTTGATGCTGTCATCCCGGGACCTATGGACGGTAGGGCATCAAATAGCGGGTGCAACTTTTGTTGGACGGGATTGACCGCCCACCTCTTGATCATGCTCGATACCAAGAAGCCCGCGTCTGGAATGTTGACAGTTCTATTGACACCGGTACAGATGGCGAGAATTGTGGGAGGCATCTGGACCACCTTTTCAACATCAGAAGTGCGCACAACTTCTAGATGGCTAAGTAACCACGAATCTGGGTCGTATGAATCAGGAAGAGTAGGAGACCCAGAGGGCTGTGACGAAACATGGCTGGAAATTGATTCGACAGTCAGGACTGGCAAACCCTCGACAGCCTGCTTCACTTCATTCCAATCTATCGAGAGGAAGTAAACTGAGATGACCTTTTTGAACGAGTGCAAGGTGATCAGCATCTTTCCTTGGACGGTGGGGGCAAAGCTGGCGTGACTGTAAAGCATATCGTCTGGTTGCGACAATTGCTTGGTGACCTTGGAGTACTGCCCGTCGCCCCTCTGGAAGCAAAGCGTGAAGAGGCCATTGCGGTGGACGATGGCAACAGCACGATGCCAATACGGGCCGAGCGGTTTGGCTCTTGCATTGGTATGCTGCCATCGGTCGTCACCCTTGAAGGCGTTGATAACAACATTTCTTGGTCTTTCTTGCCGATCCTGGTTTAACCACGTCATGCCAACCGGCTGGGAATACTCGTCGCCCTCATCCAGAGCGCCTTGACGAGCAAGGATCAGGCGGTTGATAGCGAGCGGAGAGTTGTGATATACCCATATCCTTCCCTTGACATCGACCACGGCAAGTTCACCTCCGTTTGGGCTCCAAGCCAAACTGGCGGCATCTTCGAAGAGGGTGGTCAAGGAGTGTCTTTCATGGAGACCCCACGACTTTGATTCATAGTTATAACGAAGACATTCCAGATAGACAGTGGATCCATCATCGGATATGCTGGCAAGGTGGCCATGTCTCGACCATGCTATACGCTCCAGACAGCCACAATACCAACGGCGGGAGAGTTTGTCGACGACTGCAGGGTTTGTGGGAAGGGCAACATTTGAGACAGCATTCAGATCGGTGGTCGCATCGATTTGTTGAATTTGCTGCTGCAGCGAGTTTTGGTCGAAGAAAGAGTCGGATGCAAAATCGTCTGGCTGGTCTGGATCCATTTGGTTGGACAACCTTGAGATATTGGCATAGCATCAGACCCTCATCGGCAAAGTTATAGTTTGCCCAAAGAAATCATGGCGCCTTGGGTGGGTTGTGGATCGGAAGAAGAGAGGGAGAGTTGGATCCAGCTCAAAGTGTTAGGCCATAGTGATGTTTTAATTGAACCCGACGCAGCTAGATGTGAAGTAGGATCTTCAGGAAACGCTCAGTTGGAAAGGGAGTGTGTCTTGGGCAATTGAAGTCAAGGGTCTTTTTTTGCGAAAGGCTGAAACGGGGGGCCAGCGGCTAGGACGAGAAAAGAGCTCACTAGCCACAAGCCACAGGGGAGCCTCCGGGGGGGGAGGGGCCCTGTCTAGGCGGTAGCTGCGGTAACAGTACCGAGTAGCGAGAATGACGTTCCCAAGTAAGGTTCACGTTGTTGACTGGTAGGCACCTTGGCAGCCACAGCACGTCGGTGAGTGTCAGGCACACAACGGCCCCTAAGAAGCGCCCCTGGCCAATCGCCTCGCCGGCAGCAGGGCTCGAGGATGAGGGCTGCGCAGGCCACCAGCCTAGTGGCCCCGGGCAATAAGCATTCCACGCTCCATGCTCCATGCTCCATGCCCCCATTCCGCCCCATTGTGTTGTTGTGCAGCTGCAAGCAAGACGGTCAACAGAGTTTGGGCCACCATCCGCCAAACCGCCAAACCACACCACGTCCCGGCGTCGGGCATCTGCCAGATCCAGGTGCAAATAGCCAAAACAGCCGCTGACGCTGGCTACGAGGCCCCTGCTCCTCCCCTGCTTTTCCCGCTGTTCGCTATCTGCTGTCCATTTCCCGGTTCAGTCTCGACTCCTCCCGCCAGCCTCATCCTCCAACTACCTCCCAAACTGCACCTCTCAGCTCATCCTTATTCATTTACCCTTCACTCGAGGCCCTGTCGACTCTCCGCTCTCTCTCAAGTCCAGAATAACGACCTTGTTGTCTTCTGTATACAGAAACTAGTCACTGCACGGGCGGCCCTGTGAGAAGAGTCGCTCCTTGCCGAAGTCATGCGATAAAATTGCTCGTTTACCCTTTACCCTCGCCAAAACAACACAACCTCAACCCGCCATGGACGTTGATGATATTTCAGATCTCTCGTCCCCTTTGAGCTCCCCACCTAGTTCTCCTCTCAGTTCTCCTCCAAGTTCGCCAATACTGCCTCCTGGCTTTCAGGTTCTCACCCCTCCTCCCTCCCAGCACGCTGGCGACGAAATGCCTCGTGCGCGAAAGCGCCGGAAGATTGAGCCAAAGATCCGCACAACCCAGTACTTGGATCTCACTTCAGACACTGCGCAGTCCGAGTACGACCGCTCAGAAGCTCTAGACACTCTTCTCAAGGCCTTGCGACACAGGAGAAAGATCGTGGTCATTGCAGGGGCGGGCATCTCTGTCTCGGCCGGTATCCCGGATTTCAGGTCTTCCAACGGACTTTTCAAGAGTCTACGTGGGGAACACAAGCTGAAGAGCTCCGGCAAAATGCTGTTTGATGCTTCTGTCTACAAGGATGACCATTCGACCTCCAGTTTCCACGACATGGTCCGCAAGCTCTCAAAGATGTCTGAGGATGCCAAACCCACCCTCTTCCACCGTTTTCTGGCCAGGCTCGCCGTTGAGGGCCGATTATTGCGACTGTATACTCAAAATGTCGACGGTCTAGAAACCTCGTTGCCACCTCTCGCTACTCAAGTGCCTCTCAACCACAAAGCGCCGTGGCCGAAGACGATCCAGCTGCACGGTGGGCTGGAGAAGATGATGTGTCAGAAATGTAGACACGTTTCCGATTTTGACGCCAATCTTTTTGACGGAGCCGCCCCTCCACTTTGCCCTCAATGTGTCGCAGCAGATGCGTTGAGAACAGCGCATGCTGGGAAGCGAAGTCATGGCATTGGTAGATTGCGCCCTAGAATTGTCCTCTATAATGAACACAACCCGGATGATGAGGCAATTGGCGCAGTAACCACGGCAGATTTCCGAACGAGACCTGATGCGGTCATTGTGGTTGGCACTAGCATGAAGATTCCAGCTGTGCGACGCATTGCTCGTGAGATGTGCCAAATTGTGAGAGATAGGCGGGAGGGTACCACGGTATGGATCAATCTGGATCCCGTGCCTCCCGGGAAAGATCTCGAAAACTGTTGGGATCTCATTGTTAAAGGCGACAGTGACGAAGTGGCGCGATTGGCACGCTTGAAAGAGTGGGATGATTCCGGTTCTGACGCGGCCGAGAATTATACAGAAGCCGATCTTGATAGGGTCAAGTCGAGTCAGGGTGAGATTGAGGTCGTCATACCACCCAGCCTCAAGAAGAATGGGGCTGCGGCTCAACCATCGCCAGATTTCCATGCCATGACTCCCCCACGAAGTCAGAATGGAGATGCGCCTGCGCAAACAACAAAGGGACCCAAATCTACGACAACTTCGCCAATCCGAATCACACTCAAAGTTACTGAGCGAAGCCAGCAGGTCGCGGTGAAAAATGCAGCCAGCACTGGAAGATCCATAGCCGAACTTCTTCGTGGAAAGGAAAATAAAGACAAGCCTGCGAAATCCAAGACTTCTCTGAACAGGAAGCCCAGAGTTACCAAGATCAGAGCATCTACGAATCCTGGAAACAAAGGAGTTATATCCGGAAAGGTCACAAAACCAGTTGCGGTCAACAACGCGGGATATAAGAAGCCCCTGCCTGAACCATTGTCGCCGCGTCGCGATGCCAACGAGACATTCATCGAGATACGCAGATCAGAATACTCGAGCGTGGAGGTGAGTCCGGCGCCGGAGACACCTCCATCGACGTCGACGCGTGAAGAGTGGCGAAATGGCGAAACGGTATCCCCGACCGGGAGGATACCGTCGGATATGATCAAATTGTTGAACTAGATTATGTGGAACATGGAGTAGATAAATATCCTGATATGCCGTGGTCATACTGCAAAGGCTTCAGGAATCACTTATGGGCAATTGATTTGCATGATGCCTTCTCAGGGCATGGCAGCATGTGGCAAGGGCAAGGGGGGGGACGTGCTTGCATTGTCTATCACGGAGTTGCTATGGGAAAACGGAACCGGATTATATTTCTTTCTGTCAGGAATGATACCATTGCGCTACGACGCAGCAAACCGTGGGACAGGCTGGCTCTTTGACGAGAACAGAGACAGCTGGCAAAGAAGGGCATCAGATACCCCAACATTGGGACCCAGGATACACTTATGATTTGCATTTGCATTTACATGGGCGTCTCGACTTCAGCAGACGGCCTGCTAAGCAGAGGGATGACCCTTGATCCGGCGTCGCCCCAATATCGGAATATTACCTGCCAAAATACATAGCATCAGGACAAGAGGAGCAGAGAACGGGCTTTGTACAGAGCAGCATTCTTCATGAGGTCTACGGAGAAGACTTCCAGGCGCTCGAAACGCTGCTATTCCAATATAAAATATTTGAGTACCTCCACTTTGATTGATTCAAGCCAGTTTCTGTGCCTTCTTTCCTCCCCCCAGAGATAGATAGACTCTGAGAGTCGTGCAAAGAACAGGCTCAATCCGCGGGCCTCGTTCGACAGAGGTCTTTTACATACATACTTTGCGGAATTCCTTCGAGCCTCGAGTCCCTGGCTGGATGGGATCATCAATCTTGAACAGACATCAACAGGGATTATGATAATGGACATCATGTGGTGTCGGTTCCCGGGTTTAGGTGTGTATGTATAGGTGTATGTATGTATATGTCACATGTATGTGTGTGTGTCCTGTACATACATAGATACGTAACGATGGGTATGAAAAGGATATCCGTGGAATGGTAAACATTAGACAGTAACGCACAACGCCGAATGCGTGACATGTACATTAACAAACACCAAACGTCGTTCTAGTATAATCACGCACCGCACGTAATACCAGAACAAGTGCTGTGGGGTGGTCGCCTAATGCTTGGACAACAAAGACAGACGAGGGAGCTTGGGTATTGTAGAGGAACTTGTGCGCTCGTAGAGAGTCATCATCCATCATCCACCATCTTTCGAGGTCGAATCAAACAAACCAGTCCAAGTCAGCGTCGTATCAGAGCGCTTGGCCGTACGTGTACCGTTCGTCCACCGCTAGCCTTGCGCCCAACGGGCCCGCTATATCACTCGCGCGTAATCTCCACGCTCTCCTCCCACCGCCCATCCCCATGCTCACCCCTGAATCGCAATTGCTCGTGTACTCCCTGCTGCTGTCTGCGCCTGCGCCATGCTGAGTCATGGCTAGGGCTTTCAATCGCGTTCTTTTCCTCCCCGGACCCGGGGAGCAAGGATGCAAGCTGGCTCTGAAGCTGGGGCTGCGGTCCCAACGGACCTGTGGTGGCTGCGAGGTTGTAGGACTCGTCGCTTCCCTTGCCGAGCGGCAGGTCGAGGTGAGGAGGATAGCCTTTGTCGCTAGCCATTGCTTTGTCGGGCACGGTGGGGCCGTTGCTGGTTCTCTGCTGCTCCGTGGAGACCATCTCGTCTCTGCCTCTCCTGCAGTGACTATTGGCGCTGGACGTCATGGGGAAGGGGGGATAGGCGCCGAAGTCGTCGTCTCGAGGATCGTAAGAGAACGAGAACAGTGCGGCGGCACCCCTGCTCAGACCCCGCGGCCGGCTTTGCGAAGGCGAATAGCTCGGATCGCGACGGATTTCGCTTGACAGCGGAGATGGAACGGTAGGCCGGTTTGCGTACGTGAATACAGCCGCAGCAGGGAGAGCAGGCCCAAGAGCGCTGTTGCGCCGAGAGCGAGGAGGGGGAAGTGGTGTCGAAGGAACTCCATACAGGTCCTGTTCTCCGCTAGGTCCGGCGTCATATGGGTGTTGTGGGACGGCATCTCTGTAGGGTGGACTGTAGTCCCTGGTCGTCATCCGGCCGGAGTCGAATCTCTCGCTGGGCATGGCCTGTGGCGTTCGACTGCGACGGTTGCTGCTGTTGCTTCGACTTCGCGAGCTGTGGCGGTCTTGGGTGTCACGGCATCCTAGAGCTGCAACCCCAACGAGTCCTGCATCGAGTCCTGCTCTGGCCGCTTCAAGCCCGTGATCATCGTGCCCTAAAACCCCGTCGCTGTGACGAGCATCCTCTTGGTCGAATACTGCGTTGGCTCTCGCGGAGTCACGGCTGGAGCGTCGCCCACTCTCGCCACTGCTTCTCGTAGGGATTTTTGTCAGAGCCGCCGTCTCGGCGACGTCGTCAATAGGAGAGACGGGAGAGTAGGGCCACGGTTGGCTATTGTCGGTGCAGTTGACGGGCACGGGTTTCCGGTTGATTTGTGCTCGGACAGTTCGGATGTTCGCTGGCGGTGCATTGACTACTGGCGGGTTCTCGTCTTGATGTTCATCATAGTGATGCATAAGGTCAGTTCCAGCTGCTGCCGCTGCAATCCCTGCTGCAATTCCGCCCGTGTGATGCATGCTATCGGTTGACGAAACGCTGTAAGATCGGGAGGGTTTACCAATCTCTTTCACAAACGGGTCATCCCCAGGGACCATGCCGTCAGTCAAACCAGGTCGAGAATTGGGAGCTGTCCGTCTCGGTGGCGGAGGCACAGGGACAAATGGATTCTCGTATTCTTGAGGACTGCGAAAGGCTGAATGTTCGGACATGAGAGGTGCAGCTCCGGTAGGTACCAGGTCACGATATAGCGAGCCTTGACTTGCGCCTGTACTTGATGGCCGGTTCACTCTCCAGCTCTCGACTTCATCGTCGCCTGGGGAGAGAGCAGAATGGCGAGGGGAAGAGCTGAGTCGGCGACGTTTGGAGCAAATGACCAAGGCTAATACCAAGAACCCGAGTGCGAGAGCTCCCAGGACACAGCCTAGGATAATGGGGAGATCGGAGTCATGACTGGATTTTGTTAAGGAGGGTGCGGTTGTTGAACTCCCCGCAACAGCTCCAAGTCCTGACGATGTTCCTCCTACCGGGGATGGCAGTGTCAGAGAGGATGTGGTAGAAGGTGACCTTCGTGAAGAAGTCAAGGAGCTGGTAAGTGACGCGCTAGAGGATGTGATGCCAAAGGCAGCAGATGGTGAAGACGGCAAGGCCAAAGAGGGCGATGAGGTTGAAGAGATCAAAGACGAGGTCGACGGTGCAAATGAAATCGAAGGCGGAATCAAAAAAATTGAATCATCGCTTGACGTTGAGGCATATGATGTTCCAGTATATTGTGCACTGGAGGTCGACGAATCCCCAACCGTCGAGGAGCTTGCCGTTGCAGACTCGGCTGCCGCTGAAACGGCCGAAGCGGCAGAGGACAGAAGTGAATTGACTTCTGTAAAGACAGAATAGGCCTCAGAAACAATGATGCTTAAAGGGTCGAATGTTTGTTGGGCGGCCACGAGAGCGAAGAAGGTTGGCGCAAGCAGCGAAACTGGAAAAGCCTTCATATTACCAACAGCAATTGCCGGGCGCCGTTTGAGGGTATTAGTGAAACATCCGTGTGGTAAAATCAAATCGTTGCTTGCAACATGGAAGGCATTGGGACAGGCTTTTGCAAAGGAAAGAGAGCGTATTCACGGGAGATTGAGAAAATGTAATCCCTACCTCTACGAGAAGAGAGAGAAGATGATCATCTCCAAGACGCACACGGATCCCATACATATCTGACAATCGCTGCAGTTTGGCCACCTCGGATGTCTATCGCCTGAGACTCATCGTCGTTAGGGTCTTCGTGTCCTGCGGCCGATGAGGACGATGTGCTCGAACTAAGGGCCACGCCAGCAGGGAAGCAAGCAGGGAAAACCAGTCGACTCCGATCGTTTGCGTTCTGGATCCAGATCCTCGGACATAGGTTGGTTGGCGGCCGCAGATATGCCCAAGGGGACTCTGGGACAGACCCAAGCTAGTCCAAGCGATGGAAGATTCTTCGGGGTGCGAGTGGTGGCTTTCTGGAGGTCTAGATGGGAGGAGGCAGGAAGATCCGATGCAGGGACGTTCGTGGTCGTTTCAGAGGTCTTGTATGACTGGCTGAACATGTGGCTGCGTGGCTGTGCCATATTAACCGAAGAGCAGCTAGTGGCAAAACCAGACAACCATCCAGTTGCTGGCACCATCAATTGTCTGCCGGGGAATTGTCTGTGGTGGAAATAACGCTCTTCCTGCTGGAACATCATTGTTCCAAGGATGTTTCTTCCGAAGGGAGCTTGGTAAGACCAGGAAAAGTCGAGCAGTAGCAGGAGGTAGTAGCCGGCTTCCTGAAGCAAGAGCTCGGGGTGGCAAAGGCGAACAATTTGGGACGATCACTCACCTGGAGCAACATGGATGATATTTTTAGAGATGCTTGCATGCCCAATGATGCCAGGCTATCCGTGCCATAAAGACATGCCCCAATTGCCATCTGCTTAGCCGACCATAGAGTCAGCACGAGCTGGGTGTTGATATGTCTGAAGAATTAGCCCAAATGCTCGATCGGAGGTTTCTTGAAATGTCGAACGGTCCTTCTCAACTGCTATTTGCTTCCTTTCCTTTTAGCGAACGAGTCCAAAGTCGGGCCAGCAGCTGGGTGTTGACAGGTTCAGGTCTCAAACTAGCGGACGGTGATTGAGTGCCTAGATATAGCGTTTATAGCAGCAATATTGCATGACAGGGCATTGCACCAGGTAATGGCCGCCCAATGATCCTCTGCTTCGATCCTCAGAAAGCGTGGGAGCTGAGTTGATTGACCATATTAGTCAGAGAGTTGAAGCTCAAGAAGAAGACCATCTCAACAAATGACCCGCTGATGCTGCTGCACTTGGACTTTGTCTTCTGTCCGGAGGGAATCTAGATCCGGCCATGGAATGTGGACTGTATTTTCACGTATCGCGATGTCACAGGTGAAGGGGAGTTCCGGACCTAAGTATGAGACCGCTAAGTACGGAGCTTACGTCGTCAGGCAGGGCATGCAGCACAAGAACATTTGTTGTTGAGACATTATAGAGACAAGCGCGGCAGGCAGCCAAAGGCCTTCAGCGCCGAGTAGAAAAGGAAGTCAAGTTACAATGTGAGGAGAAGATCTTCATATACCTGCACGTGACCGCTATCAGTGATGATGACTTATCGTCAATACAATCAGGTGACTAGAGACCCGCTGATGGCTTTAGGGATGTCCGGCAGGGCGTTCCGTTGGAGGCCCGCTATGGCTCCCTTGCATGCTCTAATGCACAAAACCAGATTAGCGGCATGACTAGTGCAATCTTGGCTGGCTGAGAATACAATTTCACTGGCGGAATTAAGCAGGTAGAAGAAAATAGAGTGTGAGCAGTGTGGGTCCCCGTCAACCTCAAACTCGCACCACTTTTGGTTGAGCACATCAGTCACCAGCTTCCCCCCGGTGCCAGGTGCCCCCGCTTCTCTTCTGGTGCAATGTGGACACGGAGTGGTGGTGGCAGGATGTTGTTTGCCTTGCCTGAGAGATCCGAGCCCGAGCCCGCGAGCTCCCTGATTCCCTTCCTCTCTCGCTCCTCTCGCCTTTTCCCTCCCTCGCCCTTTCCCCCTTCTTTCCCTCGTTTGCTCCTGCCTTCCATTATCGCCTCTTTCCCCTTCGCGACCTGCGACCTTGACGCTTGCCTGTGTCCTTGCACAACTCGGACTCGTACCACTTCTCGCTGCCTCGATTCTTGAACCACTCTTCTTTTACTGTGTCTTCCTGCCTTTTGATCTTAATATCTTCTCTCTTCGATCCTGTATTTCTGCTCGACTTTCACACTGCCATTTTCTCCGATCTTCGGCCGTCTTGGGTCTCGCTGAGTCCCGTCTTCTGCGTCATTCATTCCCACCACTTTACTGGAACCGGTCACCAGTCTGTCCTCTGCGCCGGCCCATAACGACACTCACCACCAGACATTGACGCCTGCTTGTTGTCATTGTCGCCCTAATTTTCGCTCCTTCCGATCGACTGGCGCTGTGCGCACGCTGTACACCACCTTTAGGCCTTTTGTAATTCACGACCGCCCTTTTATCCTTGCGATTGACAAACAACGCTGGTTTGGACTCACCTGTCCTACGTATACACCCGCCGGTATCAAGACAAAGGGAAATATTCTTCAAACACTTGAGATTGCTTTGCGCAAAGGGAAGGCACCACTGTGTTCTGTTTCGTGGTGGAAAAAACTGTCGCGTTCTTTTGATTCCGGCAGGATTGAGTGATAGAAACTGATGGCTGGTGGCGGAATTTCTAATTTTCGGTGACTAAATGGTCCAGATGAGCACTGGGTCGACGCCAAGGTCGCATCGTATCGCTCTGCCGAGCGACCCAATATGTTGCGCCTTCTATCGTGGACAGGCTGTGATAAGATCCATTCTCCAGAGATGAGATCTTTTGTCTCAAACCAAGACTCTCCTGGATCTGGCCCTCTTGCTGCGCCTGCCATGCCAGCGACTCACAAACGAAAGCAATCAACAGACACTCTGGGCCAGTCAGAGAGGAAACGGGCGAAAATTGTTGACAAGCAACCCTGTGCCAACGTACTTCCCAGTCCCACGCGCGCCCTGCCCTCTGACCCGCCCAATACGGCCACCTCAGCTACAAATGAATCCCCATCATTCCTGCCAACGCCACCGGAGGTGAAAATGGAAGACTCAGACACGAGCCAGGTGGGATCTACGTTGAAGGATGTGGACGCTGCGCGGTTACAATCTATTCGGAATGTCATTCAAACACAGATCAGTCTCGAAATTCTCTTGAAGCACAAGGAACTCCGACTTATCGACCAAGAAATAGCCAAATGTCAGGCCTCGTTGGAACAACTCCGTCGATGCAAGGAGATTCCTTTCCCCGGGACACAGCAACTTTCCTTTGGTGTCAGCGGTGGCACAGGTCCAGCTCTACGCAGTTCATTCCCCTCTCCGCTACCTCAGTTACCCGCGCCTTGGGGTGTCACAGAAGGGCCTTATTCCCGTCATTATGCGAAATGGCTTTTGCCCGACCCGCGCTTTGACGGCGGCGAACCAGAGCTTGTGGCTACTACACCTGTTGGCAAATCTCCCATGAAATTCAGATCTCAAACCAGAGGTCAATTCGCTGAAGGGCCCCAAACATCAAGCCAATCTCGGGCGCAACGTAGTGGCAAACTGAAATCTCTGCCTGCCGGATATGGACAGCCAAAGGAGAAAGCAACAGGTCCAATGATCATCAAGAGGAAATCCGACGGGGCTACCGTGAAGCTCGTTTGTCCAGACTGTGGCCGGTTTGATTTTGGGAGTGCTCAAGGTTTCATCAATCATTGCCGAATCGGCCACGGCCGGAGTTTTGCAAGTCACGACGCTGCGGCAGATGCTTGCGGAGAACCGGTTGAGGTCGACGAAACCGGAGCAATGATCGGTGTTGAACCTGCTGTGACCCCCGCCGCCGGCAACGTGCACCCCCTGATCCGTTCAGCCAAACTTCTGCAACCGAAGCCACCTCGGATCATGTCCCAAACGACTCCGGCAACTGATAAAACGGGAAGCCCCAAGCCAACACAGGTGTCACCTGATTTTAGGGGATCGGCCTTGACACCCAATCTGTCTGAGCTTGTCCAAGCTAGGGGTCTTGGACTTGATCTTCAAGAAATGGTCTCGGATGCGAAAACCAAAGTTGAACTGCCAGATTCTGATTCGGAGGACGACGAAATGGATGTGGATGTTCCCATGCAAAACACTGCTCAGGGCCGGCACCCACAAGTTGCAGGCACTAAACAACCGCCAAAACCTACCAAGTCTCCATTGTCATCTCCCCTGCTGCATTCAAATATGCTGAGGTCCACCAACAATTTGCGAGGAGGGTTGTCGCAGTATGACGGTGCCAACGACAAGCCGACTCAACACCGGCCGCGTGGAATGACTCTACCCATGAACGGCACCTCTCCGTCTGACCTTCAACCTTCTGACCCATCTCCCACCAGTGAATCAAATCAAGCTCCGAGCCTGGTCGATGACGATGAAGAATTTGAACCACACTCCCCAAGCAGCAGCTCCGTTTCTGACGAGCACGATGAGGGCGAAGTCGAGTTTGAAGTCCAAGGTGACGATGATGATGCTCGAAGCGTTCTGCGTGCCCCTGACTTTCAGCCAAGCTGTGCACAAGCAGTCCGACCTCCGACACATACCCGGCGAGCTTCGGCAATCCGGCGACATGGTGAAGAGAGAGAGGAGAAACACGTCAGTTTCGTCAGCCCGAGCCCGGCACGTGATGTGCCCAATACTCGCTTAGGTCCAGATCGAAAGAGGAAAAAGGTTTAGGCATCGGCAACCAGGTTAGCACCTGTTTGACTACCTACTACCTTGTGCAGGATCATGTTTGACCAGCATTTGTGGAGTTCAATGGTGGCCGGCGGTTGTTTATTATGGGTGGACGGGGTTGCGATTGCATCAGCGAGGGGACTTGGATAGACGGAGGGCGTGCGGACTGGGGGAGAAGCACGCTTCTACGGATTCTGTCAGTGTACATATTGTGGAGGTCTCTGAACGATGTCAGCCACTCGTTGAGCAAGCTCCATGTTTGCTTCCCAATGCTACAAGACTCATCTCTGACATTTGCCCACCTTAATCATGAGATTGTGCTTGTTGCATGGTGAGAGGACAAGTAAGTAGCTGGCTTAGTTGGCAAGGCTGAGTCTCCAGGCGCTCACCAGGCTCTATCATAATGCTCCGAATAATTCACCAGTTGCGTCAGATGCTTCTGGAAAGTGCCAAGGCCCAGATCCGACTCCCTTTCCCCAGCAGTCAATGCCATTCCTTGCTGGATTGCGAGGAGCGATCGTAATCATTTAGAACTCATCTCACTTCTGTCAATGTAAGTTGCCTGGCCAGACAAGCAAAGCCACCACCGCTCTTTCAAGCATCCATCTCTGCCGCAATTGTCGACGCCACCACCTCCCCATCGACAGCGTATTCCTCGGCGAGGATGGCGCAAGCCCAGAAGTGCGTCCACAAAGGATGCGGGAAGGTCTTCACGGATCCGGACGAGGAATGCATATATCATCCTGGGCCTCCAGAGTTCCACGAGGGACAGAAAGGTTCGTTTTGCCTTTGGACCATGGTGAACCCTTCGTTTCTTCACATGCTAGCAATGGAAAAGACAATTTTCCAATGTAAACGACGGCTTGACTGAGTTATTATGCTGACATGAAATCTGGGAGAGCAGGCTGGATGTGCTGCAAACCCCGCGTTCTCACCTTCGACGAGTTCCTCTCCATCCCACCCTGCACAAAGGGCAAGCACTCGGCTGTAGACGACACGCCCGCGCCAGCCCCCAAAGCCGAAGCTCTGAAAGCGTCGAATATTGTCGCCGCCGCTCCTCTACCTGCCCCCGTACCCGTTACTCGACCCTTAGCATCTAGTCTCGCAGCCGCTCAACAGCCCACACCCTCGGCGACGCCGAAACCGGAACCTCCCGAAGACGAATCCGACGACCCAGGCGCCGAGATCCCCCCCAATGCGACATGTAAGAGACGAGGCTGTGGGAAGTTGAGGGACGAAAAAGTCCCGCGGGACGAGGAGGAGTGCGTATATCATTCGGGCGTTCCACTCTTCCACGAGGGGAGCAAGGGATGGACATGTTGCAAGCGACGGGTACTCGAGTTTGACGAGTTCATGAAGATTGAGGGCTGCAAGACCAAAAGGCGGCACTGCTACGTGGGCAAGCCGAAGAAGAAAGAAGGAGGCGCCGCCGCAGTCGACGGAGGAAGCGCGGCGGCCGACACCGAAGAGGAACTCCTGGAGAACGTCCGCAACGACTTCTACCAGACGCCCAACAGCGTCATCGTCAGTTTCTACCTCAAGAAGATCGACAAGGACAGGGCCACGGTCGACTTCAAGCACGACGGCCTGTCGGTGGACCTGGACCTGCCCACGCAGGATGGCAAGAGGTTCACGAGGAATATCCCGCTCTTCGCACAGGTCGACCCGGCAAAGAGCCAGTACAAGATCATGGGCACGAAGCTGGAGATGAACTTGGTCAAGGCGGACGGCTCTATCAGCTGGGCGACGTTGAGGAGCGACGAGAAGGGGACTGGGGAGAGGATCCAGTTGGGACGCGCTGGCCGATTGGAGCGCAGTTGAGAGAGAAAGAGAGAAAAACACAGAGGAGATGAGGACATTTCTGAATGCAAAAATCGGATGATGTTTTCGACACCGAATGAAGAAGCCTGAGATGAATGAATGAAGAAATAAAAATGATACAACTCACACACCAATGTCAATACTAACAGGATCTATATGAATGAAATGGCCAATTGGGGAGTGGAAGGAGAGGAAAAGGACAATAACCAGAGGGCATAGCGAGGCGCCAGCACGATCAGGCTTGCTTATGTGTATGTAGGAAATCCTCAAAGAAAACTTCTTGCTCTCGATCTATTTTGCTACGGAGGTGCAATCGCAGACAGATCCTGACTGGCCAAGTAAACAAAAGATCTCAATGTCCAGGCAATGTTTCCATGTCTTTGCAGCAAGACCATGTAAAATTCCCATTATGTACTAGACCCCCTTTTGTCTCTCCTCTTCGTCAAGTTTCGCCACTCACTTCGCCCATATCACGAAGGCCAGCTCTTCAATCCCTCCAGGAAACTGCACATTCAAGGTGCAGGCACGGCGGAGAGCAGGACACAGGCCTCCCATCATTTCGAATCCCATCAACGTATCTTATTCTTTTCTTTTTTTTCCTTTTCTAAAAGGTTGTTGTAGCATCTCCTCCACAGCTCCGCGCCATCGAAAGATGCAGTCGCAGCCATAATGTGGAAAGGGAAAAAGGACGGTGCAATTCCTCTGCGAAGCCGGGAACGGAAGGAGATCCATTGAAGAATCAAGAATAACCCTCAGCAAGCCACACGATGGTGGAGCTCCGGTGGTGTTAAGGTAATGTTAACACCTCTACTGATGATGAGGGAAAGGAAAAAGAAGAAGTGAAGAAGGACGGCACGCAGGAATTTTGTAGGGAGGGAGAAAAAGAGTGGGGACTGGTTGAGGCTGCGGCTTGGCGCGGCTTTTGGTGGGCTGGTTTGGCTGCTTGAAGCGGCTGCGTTCAGCCTTGTCTTGACGAGGCTCGATGTTGGAAGGATGTTGGATCCGGAAGATGTTCAGCGTTTTGAGCCCGAACCGTGTCTTCGGGGAAGTGGTGGACACTGGAAGAACAGGGGCATTTCATTGTCGGAAGAGATCTCTTGTACGCCGTCTCTGGGTGAGTCTTCGCTACTGTCTTTTCAATGCTCCAAAGCTTCATTTCAATCGAGCGTTCCCTTTTTCTTCTTTCCCAGTTTAGCTGCGGCCCCCGTTCCCAAAACCCCCAGTAGACGTCGCAGCTGGGTTGCGCCAAAGTACGAACGCCAGACTCGGAGCTTTCCATCGCGGCCTATGGTTGTGAACAGACTTTTGGCGGTGTTGTCTGTCTGGAGACTATGTTGCCCAACAACTACAACTACCTTCATCACTCTGCCTTCACGACCAACCAAAGCCAGTTCGGGATTGCCAGTCAATGCATCCCAGAAGTAGACACTGCCGTCCTCGCTGCTCGAAATGATCCGGCCATTCCGACGGTTGTATGTTGCGCTGAGAACACGATCCTTTTTAGGGTCAACGTTTGTTGGACTTCTCTTCCGCAAGGCGGATACTTACTGTATGGCCGCTCAATGTTCGCAAACATGAGACCCGTGGGATTCGATTCTTCGAACGCCCAGAATCTGATTGTGCCATCAAAGCTTGCGCTCAGGAGTCCCAGAGAAAGCCCAGGAGGCGAGAAAAACTGGACACTGTAAACTGTATCGTCATGGTTGAAGTAGCCCACCCGCTGATCAGACACTATATCCCACACGTAAATGCATTTATCTCGGGAAACTGCAACCGCAACTGCGCCATTGGGAGAGTATGCGACGTCTGTCACAATGTCACTAGTTTGAAATTCGTGGGTTAGTGTATCTCAACCTTGTCAAGGTTCCAAATTTTGACCCTTCTGTCTGCAGAACCGGAGAGAAGCTGTCTTCCATGGTCGGCAAAACTAAGCCCTCGAATGACTCCTATGGGGCCTTCTAGGGCTTTTGAAGGCGTTGGGGAACCTAATTTTCCGGATTGCACCAGGGAGACGTCCCATAGTCGAATCCGCCAATCTGTTGCACCCGTGGCGAGAACTTGACATCCCCGCTCACGGCTACGGCCAGTATTCCTCGTCTTCCGAAGATGCAACACTCCATGGAACGTCCCTAAAACTCTCCTCTATTACAAGGTCGATATCTAGCTCGCGCTCCCTTTCGGGGTTGAAGACTGCGTGCCAGTTATCGCGCTGCTTTTTTGAGGTCACCAGGCATTGCGTTCAGATCTAGTTTGGTAAGTTCACGCACGACCCGAGCAACGCTCGCTCCGACCGTGCCGTCCGAAGGATCTGCCAAACCTTTTGGAGTTGAAACGTGCGAGGCCTCGAGGCGCCTGATCTGGGGGATGTCAGGAACCAGTGCTCATCCGAGAGTTCGGGGTGACATTTGTGCACGTGAACTTCAAGTTCCTTTTCCCCCGAAAAACCGATGGTTTGTCAGGCACAATGAGGATCTTGAACACTGAAGTCGCGGCATATGACTTAGCTCATGCATGTCTCTTTCATCTGTCGTTTGAAAAAGCCAGGTTGTTCTTCTGGCTACACCCTCTTTGGTGACATCGGAAAGCGCCTGTGGAGTGTCTGGCACGGAATACTAGTAGATCCGCTTCGTCAATCTCAAAGGGGAGATTTTGATCGTCAGAGGACAGAATCTGCTTGATGTCGGCTTCATACTGCTCGTTGATTTCGCTTAGGTAAGTTGGATCTTGGCTCAGTCGACGGGCCCGATATTCTGCGAGCAATAACGATTGTAATTAGCAGAATCTTTTACAGCTTAGAATGTCCATATTTCTTGCGCCGTTTAGCGTCCCGTGCTTTTGCTGAACAACGAAAACGCCAAAGGACGACCCTCGAACAATATCTCTCTCTTCTGCGTGGGCCTCTGTTGGGGTGAAGGTCATCATCTTTTCACTTCCAGGCGCCCAATGTCTATAATCGAGCCTTGGCTAGTTTCAAGAGAACATCGCTTACCTTCTACATTCGATGTATCGCAATCTGCTGGTGCTAGTCCTTATGAAAATGTTCTGGCAACTTCAAGAAGAGCAACCTGTTCATATGAGTGATCATGATTCGGCATCGCAAGACCCTGGATAGCGCTGATATCGCTTGAACATGCTTTGAAACATGTTGGAGGAATATTTTCGTTGTATTGAGATAGGTCAAGCAGCCAGCTGAAACTCCGAGGTGTGCCCCAATAGCATCGATGTGGTGTTTGCTCGAAGGGTCGAGAAAATATCTGCTTTGGTAAGCGATTAAACGCCTTCAGAGATGCCAGTCCTTACTCTTTGGCCGAGAAGTGCACGAAATCAACAGAGTCCGATCTTGAAAGATCAATGAGCGGATTACAGAACTCTAAAAGCTTCTCATTTGGTGGTCTAGATAGGCGGACGTCGAAACTGGATGGCTCTTTAGCTAGAGCAGAAAGGAGCTCGTCCCCCGAGAGGGTGATTTGCGAATATGCCAGCCACTCTAGGAGACGGGACATTCTTTCGCGTGTGAGGCGGTCTTCTATGACCATGATCTTCTCAACAATCCTATCATATCTGGTCAAACGAGAATGTGAGACCTCAGACCATCAGTGGACACGCTTACGCAGCTTGCAGTCCCTCTGGGAGCTCCCTAATTTTCCTCAAAAAGTCGTCTTCAGACACTGCATACTGGAGGCAATCCATGACAAGATCAACCCAAAGGAACATACCTAAAGTCGTTAGCACAAACCAACAAATGGGACCGCAGCCACAGACCGGATTTTTCTAACAATTCACCTCGACTGCCGCCTTTATTTCGTCGGACAAGTTCAAGTCGTAATCCTCGATGGCCTGATCGAGTCTGCTTGCCACAAAAATACTCATGTCCTTTTGTACAGTGTGCTGTTCGTCATTAAACAAGATTCTGGGCTTTTTACGCATTTTGGGTGAAATCAACCCTTCGTCTCGGCTTGAAATGGGTATGGCGACAGGAGATTTCTTCTGAAGTTTGAACAGCACGTCGAGGATTAATTTACAGTCCTTGACTTCGTATTCGTCGATGCCGTTAAGAACGATTCCGACCAGTGGAGCCCCAGAAATCAAATCTGGAAGCAGCTTTTGCAGATTGTCGTTCGAAGCAAGTTGGGCATTCTGAACGTAGGTATCCCAGATGAGTGCGACAACTTCGGGGTAGATTCTCGTAATTTGCATAACCAGCGTTCGCAGGAAGATGCTGGGTTTGTCCGATATGTCCCCCTAATGGAGACAGTAATAGAACAAAGTTGTCATCTGCTCGATTTTTCGAATTGTCTGAATAATATGAGCGCAGAAAACACTTTTCCCTAAGAGGCATATTAGCGAGGACTGCTGAAGGCAGCCTTTTAATGAAGCCGCGAACATGTGAACCGTTTTAACTGTTAACGTGATGCTGTGGGTGGCTTGTCTGTGATAGAAGCTTATGGGAGAGCACGACATCTGACTCGTACGTACCTGAGCCGGGGATCCCAGTAAGCCACAGTAGTGGACTCCTATCCACGTTTTTGAGCCAAGCTTGGTATTGGGGAATGTTGAAGATCCAGTCACAAGTGCCATCAAGGTGTTTCTCGCCCAGCCGCTACAGGTTGTTCTCCTGATGGATGTCTTCCACACAAAGCCAAGCAAGAACGGCCTGTAACTCTCCCGCTCTTGTTCGGCCTTCGCAATCTGCTCCTCGACTTTCCTTCGATAAGACGTAGCTTTGACAATGTTGAAAGCGGTCGCTTCCTTGCTCACTAGGACCCGGTCGTACGCGGGATTTTTCAAGATATTTTCAAGCCGTAGCTCAAAGCTCTTTCATCCAGTTTCGAACAACAAAATCCAGGCTACCAGCGATTTTAGCTTTGTTTGAGAAAGCATGAAGAAATTAACATACCGCGTCTCCTAAAAAAAAAAAAAAGGAAAAAAAGAAACCCTTGTACGGTCTTCGATGAAACTCGAGAATATCGGCGTAGACCAGTGCCAGGATACTATGAAAATCCATTTGCGGAATTGACTTGCTGTAGCGGTCGAAACGCGGTAAGGCATCGGCGATTTTGACGTACGCATCCATCAACTTGTCAAAGCTCGATATGAACTGGCTCGAGAGCTGCAGCCTTCTCAGCAAGATAGGTAGTTCAGAATCATGCAACGTACTTAAAGCATCAGCTTGACTGGGGCCTGTTGGGTGTCAGTCGCTCTTGGAAGCTGTGATCACAAACACTTATCCAGATCCACGGCAGGAAAGGAGTTCCATTGCACAAGACATCAATAGACTTGGCATAAATCTCCAGACATTTGAGAAAGGGTTTAACGCGCTTCATGTTTCGCAGGGAGCGTTCGTCGGCGTCGCTCCTTCTCGATTTCTACAGTCGCCTCCCACACGTCTTCCAGGGTCGTCGAACGGAAACTGCCAGCATCTTGCCGGCTGACCGATTTCTCGAACCTGGAGAAAGCCGACTCAATCATTGCTCTTGGGGAAAGTTGGGCAGCCGCCATGATTGCTGTTGTCGTCGCAGGCGAAAACCGTGCCTGTGTTCATTTGCCAGGGGGAGGAGGTTTAAGAGAGGTCGAGGCTCCCATGACTGGCGGATGGTCTTGTCTGCGGCAATCGGGCTGGTGGCAATACTCAAGCCGCCCTTGCTGGTGACCTCGAAGCTGCCTGGTGTTGTGTCACTCGAGAGAAGGGCAAGAGGGGCGGTGTTGCAGGCGGACCGCCCCCAGGTGGCTGTCAGCCTCACTAGCCTCATGGCTGGCTGCGTGCAAGTCTCAGATCGAGCAATACAAAGACCTCAGATATCGATACCTTGTTCAGGCTTCTCCATGAACATGAGAGCGTTCAAGAAACGAAGACTTAACATTGACGAGGATGCCGTTGTTGAGAGTGCGTTGATCCGCACAGAGTGGGATATTCCCCCGGCGCTGGACTAATCACGACCGTCTCTCTTCGTTCTATGCCGTCGAAGACTCCCTCCCACCCAAGTCTGAGACTCAGCAGACATGGCCAAACCATATTACTTTGCAGCAGGACTATATTCCTGCTTCGGATCGAATGTCTTATGCTGCAGCATCTGGGAACGTTGTCCAGACCGCAGTCCCTCAAAACGCAGTCCACCCTAAAGTGAATACACAGAGTCGCCTCCCACCTACAACATCATTATGACAGAACTGCCATATGCTTTGGCATGGTGAATTTCCCTCCAAACCCTCGACACTAAAGCAAGCTGACGGGAAACTCAAAAGTTCATCTCCGAAGTGAAAATCTTCCCCAACAGACTGCGGATTCCCCCCTTAGGTGCTTCTCCGTCGAAGTACAGTCCGGCAGCATCCGTGCCGCTTCGGACTCGACAGTTGGTATCCTGGGGAAAAAGATTGGACATATAACATGCCACAGGCGTACGGCACTGATCAATTGTCTTGAAGAAGGCCGCGATGTGCAGCTTGAATTTTTTTGTCGAGCTAATAATCTGCCCGTGCAGCATGCCAGAGGTTCAATGGGACAATATAGAAACCTTGAACTCCTTGTCAACGTCTTTGATCAAGCAGGGCTTACTGAATCCTTCGGCAAGTTCTTCGAGAAACTCAGAATATGTCTTCAAGACCCCGTCATTTGCCATAGCAATGTCCCTTACTGGAACCCACACCTTTTGGCTCAAGATGACAGGGTGGTCATGACGGTCTCCTTCACAGACGCTTCTGAAACCGAGAGATTTGTTGCTCCTGCCGACGTATTTGACCAGCTTCTGCCGAATGGAAATATGCCAGAGGCTGAGTCACCAGCGAAGTTACGGACTCAACTTCTAACACATCAGAAACAAGCCTTGTACTTCATGCTTCGGAGCGAGAAAGCGTCTCGAATTGGCAGGTCACCTCATCATGTGTGGAGCGAATCGACCGTCCTCGGTCAGGAATTTACCGACACCATCACCGGCTCCTGTCAGTCGCTGAGACCCAAAGACTTCTATGGAGGTCTCATCGCAGATTAGATGGGTCTTGGAAAGACGCTGCAGGTTATCTCGCTACTAGCATCTGATCGTGACCACAACGGCCAGCAAGGAGTGGCTCGCGATCTTTGTGGACCTCCCATTTTGTGGACCAACCATTGTCGCTTGTCATTATGCCAGCATCTCTCCTTTAATCATGGCATGACCAGATGATCGAACACCTTGAACTAGGCACCGTCCGCTGGCGTATCTACCGTGGCAGTGGGCAACACAACATTGGGGAAGTCCTCTCGAGTGTGCAGGTTGTTTTGACGACCTACGACGTTGTAGCTTCTGAATATCGCAAAACTTTAAGATCAGATGCTGCGTTTCCCCCAACGCCCATCTTTTCACGGACATGGACACAGGTTGTCCTTGACGAAGCACATTTGATTCGGAATACTGCAGCTTTGCGTACGAAAGCAGCATGCGCCATTCGGGCGAGAGCAAGGTGGGCCGTATCGGGAACTCCAATTCAAAATTGTCTCACGGATCTGTCCGCCTTACTAGAGTTTCTGCAAGTTGCACCATTCGACGACCCCCAATATTTAATGAGCATATCATCAAACCCTGGAGGACGAGATCAGATCCCAAAGCGGTCGAAAAACTAAGGAAGCCCATCAAGGCTGTTGCTATTCGACGGTCAAAGAAATTGCTTGGTTTACCAGCTCGAGACGATCAGGTACATCACGTAGAGTTCAGCGAAGACGAGCGAACGCGATATGAGAAGATTCGGTTGCGTATTCGAGACGATGCTTTCGATCTGACGGCGCCAATATTTGCACACATATTGTGGATCGACGATCTTCGAGGACTTTGCAGCCATAGCGGAGAGCTTATGCGTGCCAGTCGTTCCAGTATGCATTTGCCGTCTACGAATACGGCAGGATCTCCACTCCAGCCTAGCGCCGCGGTTGACTTCGACCAGATGAGCTTCCTTCTTAGTGACAATCTGTTAGCCACTATTAACCAAGATATGGACCTGTGCGAGAGGGCCAACATATCCAATATCTTGACGGATGGGGTTGACGACCGCCAAGAACTGAGCCCCAGCTGGCGCTCGAGCCGTAAGTGTCCCTATCAATGGCCATTGAACCGTTCCCTGAGCACACCCGATGCAAGTGGATGTAATTCACCATCTCTGGCGTCTCCGGTCGACTCGGATCACGCACCAGTGTCCTCGTCGCAAGTCTCGGCCTCCTATCAGATATCTCCAAGAACGACGGCAATGCGGTCATTTTCTCATTCTGGCACACGACTTTGGACACGGTTTCCCGCTCCTTTGAGGATTGCGGACGGCGCTTTGTGCGGGTCGACGGCACCATGTCCAACCGTGAGAGGGATTCCACACTTAATGCGTTCCGGTCAGAACGCATCAATCAAAGTGCTGTTGGCCACTGTCTCAGCTGCCGGCTTGGGGCTTGACATCACTGTCGCAAACTTAGCTTGTCTGCTGGAGCCTCAATGGAGCCCTTCGACAGAGGAGCAGGTGCTGAGCCGAGTGCATCGAATGAGACAGACGAAGCGTGTAAAGAGATACGGCGTCAGGAATGCCATCGAGGAGAACATTATTGAGTTGCAGCAGCGAAAGTTGCGATTGGCGCAACTAGCTTTGAATGGTGAAGGCGAGGCAATTGGAAAGGGGTTGATGGACGATTTGAAAATGCTGCTGAAGTAGTCAGCCCATGGTGATGCCTGAACCCCAGCACTGCATATACCATCGCATATACCGATCATGCAACGCGCACTAAGATGCTACATTCATCCAACTGCCCGAGGTATGGGGGGGTCTCAGTGTGAATCTGTAGAACCACGTCTCTGGCTCCCTCCACAAGGTCTTGTGGATGGGTCCCAGCATTGAACATCGTCGGCTTCGACGCTCGGCTCCGGCTGTGTGGCTTGTTCGCTCGTCAGCTGCCAAGTGCCGGCTACCAGACAAGCAGAGCCCAAGGAATCACGACCGAGACGTGCTTGGCGAAACAAGAGCTGAAAATCAGTTCCATCTGCCCAAAAGGGACGGTTGGTTTTCGTCGCTCCAAGCAGCACACAGTTTGATACACAAGAACGTTGCACAAGTTCGCTGGAGGCGCGAAAGGGCACTTGAATGGGTCCAGACCATCATCATCTGACACAGCTTTTGCCGACCCCAGAAAATGCGGAGTACGGAGTATTTGCATTTGCATGGCCGCCGGAAAGCTGTATCACCTCAGACCCAAGAAGTCCCTCTTTTTGGACCTCAAGATGGTCCCAAGGCGCCTAAAGTCCCGATTCAGACAGCCTGCGCAACGCCACATGCCAGACCTTGAGAGCGACTTTCTCTACCAACTGCTGCTGCCCGATTTACCGAGTCCGTATTTGTGGCGACTTCTGTCCTCGCGCACCCAAGCCCCTTTCTGCAGCTCCATCCCAGCCATCTTCCGGCCTAAAACAAACTTCAGCTCTGGACTTCCCCGGTTCATGGTCGGCGGACTGGCGCAACAGCCCGCCATTTCGGCCCAGCGACAATACCTCTGATCGTGGCGAGATTCTCGATGCTCAGATATCACTGTGGGTCCCTCGAGGCCTGAGCATCTCAATGCCCGCAAATGATGGCGTGTCCCGGTGGCTGCCCGTATGCAGCGCGCACGCCAGAACTGGAGGCATAAGCGACAAGTCCCTCGGATGAATATCAGCCTATCTACTCGTTAGTGACGGCGGGGGAATTGCTAACTTGTCTGTTTAGTCGAACCCCAGACAATCAGATTGGGTCCAAGATTGGCATGTGGCCTTCATCACTCCCACGAGTCCTGCGGTCCTGGAGGGGGCTGAAGTTACTGCCAAATCCTAGAATCCAACGCCCTGGTCTCCTGAGGCTTTGCTCTACGTCATCTTATATGTCCGTCGATTCTCACTCAAGGTACATCACGTATCCTTTGTATAGTGGTCAGCATCTCCACCAGGTACTCATTGGATTGCATTATTGCTGTTGAAGGAAGTTGGGCCTTCCCTTGCCCCTGACACGGAACTCCAATTCATCACTCCTTCATTCTTTCACACTCTATTGGGATATCCTTCACTGTTCTTTCCGGTCAAAGTCGGCTCAGCCAAACGACCGTGCAGAGAATATATACCCTGCCCCGAAAGTCCCCGTACCAGCGAAGTATCTCACTTCTACTCCCCTCACTGCAACTCCTTCGAGTCGCTGATGGCCTCCTCTTCGCCGACGATGCTCACTCCAGAGCTTACGCCCTCTCACTCTGTTGCCTCGTCTCCTTCTTTACCACCAACGCCAGATCCTCGCCCACTGGATCTTGTCATAGCCAACTACAATGAATCCTTGACGTGGCTCTCAACGTATTCCCACCTCGCAACTGTCTACAGCAAGGGCAAGCTTCCTCCGGATCTGTCCATCTTCCGAGAAGTCATGACTTTGCCCAACTGGGGTCGAGAGTCTCATACCTATCTCCACCACATCGTCCACAACTACGACAATCTTGCAGATGTTACGCTGTTCCTTCAAGGCAACATCCACGACATGAATGACGGCACACCGGCACACACCGACCTTGATCTAGACGAGATTGTTGGGATGGCCAAACAATTAGCAGATATGCCTGATATTCTTGGCAGTCGAGGTGTCAACGCTCAATACCAACCCCAAGGAGGTGTGCTTCCACTAGGCAAAATCAACTCCTTCGTTGACTGGGACGGTGTCAGATACCTGCCGGGCTGGATTGAGAGACGCGGTAAAGGACTTCGACGCAGCCAATACTCACCAGAGCAATTTTGGAATTACATCTGCAATGGCACTGCGGATAACAAAGATCCCCGATGGACCGCGGTGCCTGCTGAGATCAAATGGACGCAGGGAGCTTTGTTCGCAGTGACCAGACAGACCATTCAGCGGCGTCCAAGAGCAGTCTATGAGCGAGCGTACAACTATTTTCACTCTCTGGCAGACATCAATCCGGAGGAAGGCCACTATATGGAACGTTTCTGGTTAGCTCTTTTTGGCTACCATGGGGTTGAGCAACGTGGTCTTTGCGTTCCCGAACCTGTCAAATCGTGGACGGAGGAGGGCGAGAATCCGACTGCCGAAGGACATGGCGCTGGCGCTGAGGACGAAGGCATCTTCAGGTTGTGACTAATAAACGGGTTGTGGCTCCCTAGAGTAAAGAGACCCGGTGCTGGCAGGTCTATAAAGACGTGTTCATGCCATGGATAGAGCTGCGACAAGGCTCTAGGAACGATCTGCAGTTGCCAAGGGGCACAATAAATATACCTCGTCAGGGTGCTTTGCAAGGTTGTGGGCGGACTGCGTTCTCATCTACTCTTTTCGGGTGGCATGTACAGTGATGACTCCATACCTGACTTACAAGGAGTGCATGTTTTACGGGCTGTTCTCCGCCTTTTTTTCTTTCCTTTTCTCTCCGTTTTTTGCTACTGACTTGAGCGAGACGGTGCAGCTTAGAAGGTGGCCGTTACACCTTTACCGGAGGCGGACTGTGTTTATTTCAGCTTGCTGCACGTAATGAACAGGGCGAGGGGGGAATTAGGTAGATGGAATCAATGGCCTTTGTATTCCTTTTTCTCTCTTTTCGCCTTTTTCCAAGCTCGGCTAGTTCGGATCATTCTCTTTCCATGTGGTGTGCATGGTACATAGCTACTCCTGATATCCTGGACTGAGACGTAGTATGCGGCTACAACCACAACAGCAGCGTTTGCCGGTCCCCACGAGTCGGATAAGAATTCCAACCACCCTTCTCATCCTGTCCACCCGCACGTCCCGCATAGGTAGTTGATATTTGGGCATGGCAAGTCACATTGACGACGCAGCACAGTGCAGGGCGGCATAGCGTGGTAAAGCACAGTAAAGTACAGTCCAGGTTAGGCTCGCCAGGCTGGGCCAGCTCATCTCGGCACAGCATAGCACAGCACAAGACGACTCACTGGCCCAAAGTTCCGCTCTCGTCGCCGTCCCCTATTCATCGAGCACAGCCTTGTGCGCTACCGATTGTTCCCGGCCCTGTTTCATTTTCCCCCCTTTCATCGCTTGACACGCCTCGCCTCGTTTGTGTGGTGTTGGAGGTGTTCGGTAGGATGGTGGTGGTATTGAAGAGAGCCACAATTAACGCGAGGAGAGAGGAGAGGAGATCAGGACGAATCTCCCTCCCCTTCCTCCCGCTGGCTGCCGTCTACGTCTCCGCTCCTGTCGTCCTCGTCGTCGTCCTCCTTCTTGACGGAAGGGGCTTTGACCGCTGCAGGAGCTTTCTTCTTCGCGGCCGCACTAGCATTCTTCGTACCATTGGTGACGGCAGTCTTCTTGGCCTTCTTCGCGGCTGGCTTCTTTGCGTCGTCCTCCGAGTCGTCAGCCATTTCCTCCGACTTGGTGGTGGTCTTCGCCGTGTTGGGCGCGCGTTTGCGTGGGGGTTTGGACCCAGCAGCTGTCTTTCCGTTGCTTGCTCCGTTGCTTGTTGGGGAGGACACAGCGGTCGCGCCATCGCCGGCCTCGAGCAATTTGGCTTTGTTTTTGAGGATGGTGACACGGTGTGTGACGGCTTTAGCACTACATTCTGTATCGAAAAGGTTCGAATGTGGTTAGTGAGATGTGTTTGTTGGTCTCGAGTAAATCAGAACGCGAGGTGAATAGATTGTGGCTGGACATGGTCCAGGCACTGTACGACCGGGTAGGGAACGAATAGCATGGGGTGGTCTCATATTCGTTGCCACGAGAACGAAAAGGCATGTTCGGCATGACGGAAGTAACACTTACCAGTTCCCATTTTTGCCGCAACGGCAGCATAGTTGATCTTGACATCAGATGTGGCGAGTACCGCGGCGAAGAGCTGTGTGAGAGATCAGAGTTCGTTTATCCCGTTCTTCGCGGGGCTTCTCTTTCTTGAGATTCGACTTGAGGAGAGTGAGCTGATATGGGCATCAGGTGTGGATATTGTTGGAGGCAAGAAGACAGCATAGATGTGATTGGGATATTATACACACCCGGGCATCCGCATCCGCATCCCAAGTCATAGGCATAATGGTGGTTGTTCGAAGTTAAAGTGCCTATTTTTGTCGGTCAGCTTATGTTGTCTACTATCGAACACTGGTGAAAGAGGGCTAGGGATTGTAGACGTACAGGGTAACGGATCGAATGTAATCGAGGAGACGAAGGAAGAACAGATCTTTCAAGCGGACGGTCAAGGAAAGGCTGTGGATGGGAGAAGAAAGATTGGGAAAGGGAGGGTGATGAGCCAGAGTTTTATAGAAGGGTTGGGATGGGGAGCAAGAAAATCTCTGAACCTAGGAAGTGAAGTCCAGTCGGGCACATGATCCTGAAAAAGAGATAATAGAGGGAAAAGTGAAAAGATTCTGAATTGTTGACGGGTCAATCTGAGGTCCGGTCAAAAGGGAAAGCGAACAGACAGTGAAGAGGAAGACCAGGCTGCACACTGATATAGGCCGGCCAAGGCTGTTGAACAAATTGTACAGCTAACAACTTCAGCCCCAATAGTAATTTCCATTGTCGCTTTCAAAACTTTTTCAATCTTCAATTTGGATCCGAGGACGACGCCTTGACGCTCTTTACTTGGGCTTCTCTCTTTCGATTGACGTCTGCTGACTCTGCACCGCGTCCCCTGGCTCGCCCATACTTGACCCCTTTTCATCTTTCAACTTGTATACTCACCCTTTCCGCCATTTCATACCCAAGAAGACCATGTACCTCACTGAATTTCCAGAAGACTCCCACGACATGACAAGACGTCCGGATACCAGATCCATCGACCCACTTGTACTCCACTGTGCTGGAGGGCGCGCTACTAGTAGCGGGTTGTAATGGAAACGGGAAACTCGACAGAGGATAACCAATTCGCAACTTGCCGAGACTCTCTATTCATGGTCGCTGCTTTGTCCGAGACATCGAGATCTCATATTGTGCAAAGCATCTGTCCCTCCGATTATCCTTTTGTGGAAGAAGAGTCCATATCGCCACCTCCATGACCGACAATCTCATTCTAAACTCGCAAGATCAAGCGGAACACTACTCCCCCTTCCTGCACGGTATCTTTTTGGCACACCCGTAAATGGGCGTGGCGGAGGGAATTGGCTTTCGTCCTGAAACTTCCACCGGCTGTCATCAACTCTAATCGGACCTGAGCCGCTCGAGACACCAAATAAACTCCCATTGGTCAGAGTATAAGAACTTGCATCCAGCGTTGAGCGCGATGGCATCTGCGATACCCGTCGAGAAGCAGGCGGGGATACGGGCGACGATGGTGAGGGCGGTGCTTCGTGGATCGAGTAAGATGATTGTCTACCGAATGCGGCTGCTGCTGCCCTTTGTGCTAGAGATGATCCTGCACCATTTGTTGTTGGTGGTTGACTGGGTGGTGGAGGTGGGCCTGGAGGTGGAGGGGGAGTTGACCTAGATGGCGGTCTTGGAGAGGTAGAAGGGGGCAATGGTGGAGGAGGCGGTGCTAATGTAGGTGCTGAGCTTGGAGGAGGCGGCGGGGGAGCGGGAGGAGCTGGACTTATTGACGGAGGTGGTGGAGGGGGTGCTGGAGGGGCGGGGCTTGCTGCTGGCGGAGGCGGTGGAGGCGCTGGGGGAGCTGGACTTATCGAGGGCGGCGGTGGAGGTGGTGCGAGAGGGACAGGACCCATAGACGAAGGTGGAGGTGGTGGAGGAGCGGGAGGAGGAGGAGCAGCAGCAGCAGCAACACTGATTTTCCGTGCCGCTGGCGGAGGAGGTGGTGGCTTTCCGGCTATGAGATTGGCCACAGACGAAGGCTTGGACAATGGCTTTGGAGGAGGTTTCTTGAGATGGGCTAGTGGACTTGGAACTGCCGGAGCGGAGTCGGTTGACTGCGGTAGAGGAGGTCTGAAGCTTGGGACTGGAGGAGCGGCTATTGTTGGTGGACGAGGCGCTGCAGACAGAGGAGGTCGGGGAGCGGGTGGTGTAGATGTTTCTGAATCTGAATGAGCACCGTCCACAGCGGCTCCAGTATCGATTCCTCCTCGTGTCTTCCTTAACTTTGGAATTCCTCCAGCGAGTATCCCCGCCAACTGCGGTGGCCCGTCGAGGCTGGAATCGCCTCCTGCATCACTGTGACTCCGGGCTCGGTTCCCACCGCTTGGGACTGGGGGGGCGAGGCCGCTGGGTGCTTTGATTCCTCCAGGGACCGGTGGCGCTCCTGCTATAGGGCCTCCTCCGCCTCCAGAAGTCTTGCCTATTTGAGGTGCCGAACGGTCATTCGTGACAGCCTTCTTCAACCTTGTTCCTTTCGTGATGTCTGATAACAACGCGTCCTGCGCAGCAAGTCAGCAGCCATATGGTAGATTGTTTGCGTTCTCCCGTCCACCACCCCATGGCCCTCAACTGCCTCAAAGAAACAAGGATTTGTGCAACATACTCGTCCTTTTGCGACTGATTTAGGCGGAGCCGAAGGCAGGGAGCCTCCAGGTAGAGGCGGCGGAGGTGGAGGTCCTCCCATGCTTGGAGGAGGTGGTGGTGGCGGCGGCGGAGGTGGTGGGGGAGCAGGCATCTTGCTGCCGGTCTCTTGGACGTTGGTTTTCTGTTCCTCTCGTCACTCCTTCTAACGGCGAAGTTGTAGTTCGTTCAGAAGGGCAGGTCGGGCAGCGACAGGTTGAGGATGATGAGGCTCGTGTACCTTCAGACCGCTTTCGAGTCGAGTGTCAGTGACAGGGGAAAACTTCTGGATGGGAATCAAGGTATGCCTTGGTAAAAGCACATATATCAACAATGGCCGTCTGCCTGGGCGTTATGATGGTACTTTCGCGGGCGTGGTTGGTGGTTAGCAATTGGCAACTCGTCATACGAACGCGGCGGAGTCGATTTAACACTTGCGAGGAAGAGGCAACTTTCGGCGTCCTTACGGCGCTGCTCCACCACGCACCGCAAGGCACATCACGACAAATATAACTACCCTCTACACCACACGACTTCATTTCCAGGCAACACAATTGTTTTGCCCCGTCGACGATTTCTGAGAACCAAATCTATTCATTGCTTACAACCTTGCCTTCGTTGTTCTGCAGAGTTCAAGTTACAGGTACCGGATCCTGCCGCCCGAAGCCAAGGGATGCCAGCAACACGCACAAAAACTCGGAACTACCTATGAGACTCAACTCCCCGGGAACCATATGAAGATCGTGACAGACCAGAAACAAGCAGATCATGAATATGCGGGTTTGATGGAAGCCTTTCACTTTCACCTTGTTCATCCTATCACCATGACAAGCTGGCTGCAGTCACCGTAATCTTGAATTCTGGAGCTGACTATGAATGACTGCAGATCTTGCAAAGACCATTTTGACAGCAGATTGTTTGGCAGCAATCTCGCGGTCGACGCGACTGGTCCACTGTTGAGACCAGCAATCGCACTTGTCCGAGGGAGGGTTGTTCAAGAGTGACCGGCTTTGCGGAGCGAGTTGCTCAACCATTCAAGTCCCTCGTAGAGACCATCACCAGAGGTAGCGCAGGTGGATTGAATATACTGTATCACACATTAGCGGCTTGCACGCTAGAAAGACTTTCCCTTCCTTCTTACCCAGGCGCGTTGTCGGAGACTATGCAGACCAAGCTTGTCGGTGATTTCGGCAGCATTCATGGCGTTCTAGAGGAGAGTCAGAGCCAGTAATGTGTAACATTGTGCAGCTGAACTCACGGGTAGATCCTGCTTGTTGGCGAAGACCAAGAGCAAGGCGTCACGCAGCTCATCCTCGTTGAGCATGCGTTGCAGTTCCTCACGTGCCTCAACGATACGATCTCGATCGTTGGAGTCGACCACGAAGATGATGCCCTGGGTGTTCTGGAAGTAATGCCTCCACAGAGGTCGAATTTTATCTTGCCCACCAACGTCCCAAACTGTGAATTGGATGTTCTTGTATTCGACGGTTTCAACGTTGAATCCTGGCAGAGACGGTCAATCTAGAGCTAGTCTAACGACATAATCTGTTATCGTACCGATGGTGGGAATGGTGGTGCTGCGCGGCGTTAGTGTGGGATTTTTGAAAAGCTTCACCGGGCTCCGGAGACAGCAGCTGATATCACATACACAATTTCACCAAGCTTGAGCTTGTACAGAATGGTAGTCTTGCCGGCAGCATCAAGACCAACCATCAAAATTCTCATCTCTTTCTTTCCCCATAGTCGGTCAAACAGTTTTGAGAATGCGAGACCCATGTTTGCGATTCAGCTGAGGAAGTTCGTGACAAGGCAATTGTGGGTAAGGCGGTCTGGTAAACAGGGTCAGCTAGGGTCAACCCCGAGATGCGTAGCCGAACGTGAAAGAATGTGCTATAGTGAAGTACAGAATGGGTTCAAAGGGTCAGAGACGTGCTGGGTTATATAGGAAATCGCAGGGTCGCCCTGTCACCGTCGCGCGACTCAAGAGCACATGTGTGGCCACTTTGTCCTTGAGGACCTGGAGACGATGGATTTTCGGAGCAGGCAGCTGGAATTCTTGGGCTTACCAAAAAGGCCAAGTGACTCTATTCCTGGCTTAATGACAGGTAAAAGAGTGTCAAAGATGCTAGGTGGACGTGATTGTCAGGATTAAAGATGGACAATGGGTGAAGTAAGTCTGAAAGTGGACAAGTTCTCAGGACGCAGGACGCAGGACGCCCGGTGGATAGTTGGACTGGCGAAGTTGGACTCGTAGCCGATAGCTGCCAAGCCCTTTCGCCCTCCTGCAGACAAAAACTGTTGGTGCTACATAGCCGCGGCGCTGTTTGTAACCTTGAGGTTACCATTGTCAGGCCTCTATGAAAATTCATATCAAGATTAGAATTTTCTCATACGCTTCATGAACCGGAAGAAAGCCTGGCCTTCACGAGGCGAAGAAAAATGCCATATATGCATTAGGCAGAGGACAAAATTGACAGAACAGCCCTCTCGTGTTGGTTGCACCAGGAAACGGACTCGGTTTTGCCATCACACCATCCCAGAACACGGCACGTAAGTGAAACAAACCGATTGACTGTGCATGTTGTCACGGTGGAAAAACCAAAGTGTTCGTTTCTCTTTCTACAAGTAGACTTCCATCCTCAATGTCGTCGCAAGATATTTCCTTCCCTCTTTCTCCACCTCTTCGTTTGGGTGGATGATCCGGAATCCGAGTCTTTGATAAAGATCCAAGGCGTTGTCATTGCCATGCACCACGCTTGTGAGGCAGCATGGAGACTCGTCATGTTCGCTTGAAGAGTTGGTCCTGATATAATCGATGGTCGCCCGAACGAGGCGCTTTCCCAACCCCTGATCGCGCACCTCGGGCTCGACATAAAGTGCCGCCATATGCCACTCGGCGGATGATGACCGACCTGCCTCGTCGACTTTCTTGCGGTTTGGCGCGATGATGACCACAAATCCAACCCACTGGTGCCCTAGCAAAGTCGATTCCTGAGCCAGTGCATTATGGCGAACCAGGATAAGGTGGGTCGCACGGTCGTCCCTAAGTCTGTCCAGCCAGAATTCTTCGGGTTCAGCGACCTCACTCTCGTATCTCGATATGAAGCTCTTCGCATCCTCCTTGAGACTTCTAAGCCTAAGGGCCTTGAGTCGCGATGAATACTCAAGAAGAGTGTTATGGTCTAGGGCGGGACTGGGCAGAGTATGGATAGAAAAAAAAGACATGAGGACACACACACACACACACAGAGAGAGAGATTTTGCTGAAGATTTGTCTTATGCGGAATGAGGCACCGTAACACAGCTTTGGCCAAGGGCTTCTGTTGATATGTAGGTCTGAGAGGATCCCTGGTGTGTTCAGCTGCGCTAGAATGACTCACTGACACCGAATCACGAGCATTTTTGCAACAAAGGTATTACCGTAATATTCTAGTGCTAGTTCAGCGAAGGACGGCATGCCGGGAATCGAAAGCCAATAACACGATAGCAAAAATAGAGTTCGTCTTGTCAAGCAATTGAAGCAACGAGAAGTGTTAAGAAATGAGGGCTCGAGAGGCCCATTCCGACCAGTGCCAATCAGCCGAGTATCTTTAGAGAAACGGCTGACCTTGCTGCCTAATACTAATATGGACTAGCCTGTATTAAGTCTTGGCATCGCTCACAATTGATTTTCGACCCTTGGCCTCGCTATTCTCCGACTATTTGGTCCTTATTCCTCAACCCGTTTCTTGCGCAGTGCCTCACCATAAGAATTTAACCAATTCTTCTGGAAGACTGTCCTCAGTATGTCGAAAATTACAGTCGGTAAGCCATCAGGCCCTCTTCTCTGAGCCAACTCCTTGAGTGGAAAATAGAAGCCACCACGAATTGAATTGAAGGTTCGCTGACGGAATTTCGCCCCTCTATAGCCGGAGTGCGCGTGAACGTGCAACAACTTCTCGACTACTCCCTGAACGAGAAGAAGCGAAACTTCCTCGAGACCGTCGAACTCCAGATCGGGCTCAAGAACTATGATCCCCAGCGTGACAAGCGTTTCTCGGGGACCATCAAGTTGCCCACCATCCCCAGACCAAACATGACAATCTGGTATGTCCGAGACCTCATTGCGCTAAACAGAACATAAAATAGACGGAAAAGAGATGGATAATACCGAACATGTTGTAGAGAATGATGACTGACGAGCAGCCACCGTACAGCGTCTTGGGCGACCAACACGACATTGACCGAGCGAAACACTTGGGCGTTGACGCCATGTCGTCCGATGACCTGAAGAAGCTCAACAAGAACAAGAAGTTGATCAAGAAGCTGGCGCGCAAATACGACGCCTTCCTGGCCTCGGACTCGCTGATCAAGCAGATTCCTCGTCTCTTGGGTCCCGGTCTGTCCAAGGCCGGCAAATTCCCCACCCCCATCTCGCACGCCGAAGACCTCCAGGCCAAGATCGTCGAGGTCAAGTCGACCATCAAGTTCCAGCTGAAGAAGGTCCTGTGCATGGGCGTCGCCGTCGGCAACGTTGGCATGACCGAGGACGAACTCATCAGCAACATCATGTTGGCCATCAACTACCTGGTCAGTTTGTTGAAGAAGGGCTGGCAAAACGTTGGGAGCTTGACCATCAAGGCTAGCATGAGCCCGCCCAAGAGATTGTACTAGACGACCCTCGCGCACCCGGTCAGATCACTGACTTGTTGGGTGGTTTGTTGTTTGGCGGCAAAATCTCTCTACTTTTCTGATCTGCTCGTCGCGGGCTGCGGTGTAAATAGTCGATAGAGACGTCTCTGCGCACTCTTCGAGACGTAACAAGGGGAGAGAGAGAGAATGAAAGAGAGGATAACCCTGCCTAGAGCTTGCAGCCATCTCGTACGAATCCATGTGCATGCCAACGAGTCAAACGGAAACGATCAGGTAGAAAATTGCAAGAAACATTGCTGAGGTCTGTCGCCTGGAAATTCAGATCTCGCCAGAAATCATAATGATTCCCTGACAAGACCGACAGTGTAATGATTTATTTTTCTCTTGTTCGCAGTACTATGCACACAGAGGTTCGCTCGCTCACTTCATGCCCTCCATGAGATCCGTCTTGTCGAGGATCATGTCCCTCAGCCCACACTCGTCCCTCAGCCTCTGCCACTCGGCGCCGTGCTCCTCGCCCCAGCGGCTCTTGTCTTGAAAGCCCCAGGCGAGGGCCAATCTGTCGAAGAACCGTCTCTCGTCCTCCCTCAGCCATCGGCTGCTCAGATGCGTGCCGGGCCGCCACACTACGCGTTGCATCTGATCATTGTAGGTCGTGACGGCGACGAATCCGATGGTGCTCAGCGTGCCGATGTACGCCACGGCGCCGGCGATGGCCGTGTACTTTGCCATTTCGACGTCCATTGTGTTTTGCCAGTGCGAGACCCAGTCTGCGCCTGCGTATGCTATCAAGGGCGTCGCGGCGACCATCAGGCCCGGAACACTGCCGCGGCGGAGGGCCTTGTTTGCGCGAAATGCCGGCGCTCCTACCGTTGTGTCGATTATCGCCAGCGCCAGTGCGAGGTTCTTTTTAAGAATGGCTAACTCGAGGGCTGCTTCCGCGAGGTCTAGTGGGATGGCGTACTTGGGCAGTTTCGGCCACGGATTCGAGTATTTGACGGGCTTGCTGTCTGCCGCGGGGATCTTCTTCGTCGCGTAGAGGTGGAAGATTTCGGGGAGGTATTCGGGTCTTCCCAGCAGACATAGGATGCGCACGTATATCTGGAGCAAGTCTTCGGTGATATAGACTTTGGGGTCACGGAGGAGGTCGTAGGCGAGCTGACAGACACGTTTGGCCGCGTCCTCGCGGAAGGAGACGGACATTTGTTTGTCGAGGACAGATATCGAGTCGGTCGCTACTCCGACACTCTGCAGTTTTGACGACCTGTCCTCCGCCAGATCTTGAAGCAATGCATCTCCCAATGCCTTGCCTTGTGTAGTTGTCCTCGCAGCCTCCTCCGGCATCTTGCCTGTCCCGTGCACCAGCGTACCTCCGAACTCGTACATATCCATCAGGGCTTCAAGGACATCGTCTTTGTCGGCCGCGGCATTGCTTGACTGTATGTGTGCAACAAATTCGCGGAACTCATTGAGCTGGCGGGCAGGATCATGGCTCTTTGGGGAAACTTCAGTCGAAGTCTTGTGGATGTCGGCAGGCGAACTTCGCCTTGACAAGGAACTGCTGCTGTTTGCTGGCGACTCTGCTGCCAGAGGAGCAGTGCGTCTGGTTAATGGCACTGATATGCGACTGCGCGGCTTGGAAAGAACAATGGGTTCCTGCTTCGCAGGACTGGCGACTTGCGAAATGAATTGTCGTCTAGTGGATTTCGCTGCAGAGAGCTTCTGACATGAGCGGCATACGAAGTTGGCCCGATGGGGGAATATGGTCGCCATGACCAGATCAGATCGGCTGTTGTCTCGAGCTGGCTCTGGCGAGTGGAAGAGTGGGTGTGTCTTTCATTGAGATTCGCGGGCGCGGAAAGCTCTCGGCTAAGGTTGAAAGATCGTCTCCAATTGACTCGCTACTATTAGTTACACGGAACGATAATTCGACCTTCCAACGACATACGACGAGACGTTTTATTGAGGTTCTGTTTCACATATTATATGCTACGATTTCCAGAGCAGGAGGGGTATTTCTAGTCAGAGGCTGCCAACACCTATGGCCAATGTAGTCCATACAACCACCTTTGCGGCTGAACATTGACCAACAGCCGTCATTACCAGGCAAGTTTAGCAACCCAGCTCGTCCCCTGTAGACCTTGTCGAGGTTGAAAAGGGGCGCAAATACTTACATTTTTGAAGACCGAAAACCATCTAGCAATTGATAGTTCGACTTGTAGGTTTGCGCATCCGTAGATTTCCTCACTGCTTACCCACACCTGCACAGCTCAGCTGTACTGGCATCATTTCCAGCGGCTGGATGTGGACCGACACAGACCGAGGATCTCCTTCCACTTTCCCTGGCCTCTTAGCCAATGCAACTCAAGCCCAAGGGGTGCTCGTGGAGGGATTTTCCCGTATTTGGCATGCCGCGAAAGCCTTAAAGGCAAACAACAAGCCGGAAACACGTGGTAGGCGATCATGGACAGCCTACTAAGTGTTGCTCACAAAACCATTCATATAAAGTCCCAGCAACTGGTAGGAAAGTGAATTTCTCGCAGGTCCGTTTTGGAGACTAGGGCGTAAGCGCACCATAAAAAGAGTCTTTAATGTTAGCTTCTAGTTCAGTACTAGAAAGCTAGTAGTAGGAGTCGGTGTAAGTTATTATTTAATCTAGGGAGTTGAGAACTACCTAAACTTAAGCTTAGGCTACTGACGATAGATAAAGGGAAGTTTTGTTTACAGAATTGGGTAGATGTGAAGCTATCTATGACTAGAGAGTGTCGTGTCGCCAAGCGAAGGCCACCGCTCCCATAGTCACCAGAGCAAAAATTCAAAGGAGCAAAAAACTCAGCTGATGAGAAAACCCTGCGAAGGATTTTTTTTGGTCGACTCCCGGACTCGAACTTAAGCCCTTCTCCCCTCTCGTCGCGGACCCCTCCTGCTCGTCCTCCTCCTCTTTCTTCCTCCTCTGAGCGCTCAACCCCAATTTCACCCTCCCCCATCTCTCGCATCTGAGGCCTTGATTGTTGTTGTGTGGTGTGGTGGTAACAATGCCGGGTTACCTGATCAAGTTCCTGTAGTAACCAGAGTGGTACTTTGAGCCCGCGTTGTGGCAACCCAACTCTGGATTTATGGTCAGGTTGATTTGATGCAGGTAGGATCCGATCAATTGTTGGGAGATATATCACCAGAATAAAATATAAAGTAGTGAAAGTGGATCTTAAACGTGTGAAAAAAAAAAAAGTGAAGTGAAGACAACTTGGAACCATGGTTCGCGCTCCTGGGGCAAGGCTGGATATATAACCGGCGATGGTGTGGATCCTCGTGCCAAGAACTTACGGATCCCCACCAATTTTGGCTGCAATCGTCAACAGTCAAAACAACGCAACATGGCTGGCGCTAACATTGGCATCCACTCGTAGCTTCTTCCGCAACAATGTTTTCTTTCCTTGTTTGAAGCAACCCACGGCACGACTCTCTACACAGCGATACTCCTCTTTGACCGTAAGATCTAATGGACTTTAAGGATTTTTCAATTGTTCAACGATGCAGCTGTTGAGTCTATTGAATCGCCGTCCTGAAACACAGCGAGGGCGAAATAACATCATATGCAGCTTCTATCCCTTGTGGGTGGTGATCAAGGTAAGGTCACGTTACCTCTGGTCCTTCCTTGACAAGACGGCCAAACCAGTAGCCTGTTATATTTTACATACCCGCGCCATTAAAAGCAAAGTTTCATGACTTCATGATCCATGAGCGTGTTATACCGCGGTCGTCTCCTTCCCCGGCGTTCCATCACCTCCTTTCACATCATCCCCGAATTTGACCACAACGACCCGTGCCTCCCCATGTGTGACTTCCACGTCGTTGTCTCCTTTTTGAGGACCAGTGATCCTCCAGATCCTCTTCTGCACTCTGTAGCCCATCACCATCACCACCACATGGCCCACATATATCATTACCACAATCCAGCCGACGACGATCCTTGCAATGCTAACTTCGTGGATGCCGTACATGAAATGGCCTCTAACTTGCACAGGACACACAGCCTGACCAGATATATCTCGGTTGAAGATAGGTAGCTCGCAGTGCATCCAGAACGACAGGGAGGTAATCCAGCCACAAATAAGGAGGGAGGACGTGGCAAGCAATGCAATGTAACTCTTGCGAACGGAGAGGATCTGCGGGGTATGGTGGTGCATGGTGAGCTCAAGGACGAGGTGGATCAGAGAGACAGACGGAACGGTAAGAGCATAGAATAGAAGGGCGGTTTCGGGTTGGTTTTTGGCTGAATAGATCGAAGAGCTGCTTGTCGACGTTGTTGTGCTTGATAAAGAGTCGGATGCATAGGGTGCTGTCTCCCGTTTGCCGAATAGGGAGGAATTGGCTTCTGCGTGGACATCAGCAGCCAGGCGATCTGGAATGTCCGTGTAAGGCTTGGCTACGCAGTAGGCGTAGATGGCAGCTAGGATCAGGGTGCTGAAGGCCAGGACAAGAAGGATTGGATGTAGGATGGTCCGGAATTTGTCTAGCCGGAACAAGGCTCGGTTGCGTGGTCGCGGAGGAAGTGCTTGGTCCATCTTAGTTGTCGATTCAGACTGACGGCTAGAGATGATGAAGGCTCCGTTGCCCGTGCTCTTTCGACGAGGGTTGAATTTCATGTTGGAGAGATGATTGAGTTGGTGATTAGAGATTATGATTGTCTCCGTAGGGAGAGTGTCCAGCGTCCAGCGCAACAAGCAAAGGCCAAAGACAAACGGGCCAATATCCAGCACCACTAAGAAGAAAGAGCAAAGCAAAAAAGAATCAACAAGATGCAGTGTCAAAAGAACAAGTCAGAGGAACACGAGGCAAGAGCCATATCTATGTTCTTTGAGGCTCGCTTACCCGAGTCGCTGGTTGTTGTGTTGCCATGTCCTCGATAGCGGTCAGCGGTAGATGCCACAGAGATCATGGGCTAGGCCATGAACTGTGGGCTCGCTGATTGACCAGAATACCAGAGGCCTTGTGAGGCACCAGGAACAACCTCGACCAGT